AAAAATATGAGAATAAAAAAATTTCTTCAAAATTATCCTTATAAAATAATCACCAATGAGTATTCGATAGTAATTCTACTGTATCAACAATAACAAGTATCCGTGAAAATATGAATAGCTACATAACCTAATACTATCGATTGCTTCACTATGCCTTAAAATTTATTAAAAAACATGTGACATGGATGACATAATAAATTTTGTAAAGTTGATAACAAAAATTAAGTTGATTGAGGACCAAATCGAGATCTTCCCCAATTATACTTCTATATCACCACACCACTTTTGGTCCATAGAAGACAAGAGACGAAGTTCTGCACATTTTGAATTCGAATTCATGCCTCTTGATAACATCAACTTCAAACGCACCTAGCCGCTGATCTAAGAGAAATCTTAAGGCCCATGAGTACTTGTTGGAAAACTTATCGAGTCTACTTTCATATGACTTCGGTCTTGCATCAAAATTCCTTCTAAGCTATCGGTAATATGCAAAACAAGCCACGTAAATTATCCAGTCTGAGTCTGATTTAGGCTCTAGGTCTTGTAATTGTGTCGTGGGCTAAGCCCAAGGGGTGGACGCCTTAGGGCTAATCCTAAGACGTTACTAATCATATTTATTCAGTAGTCATCATAGTTTATAGTCGGGTTTTGGTTAGATTATTTTTCTCATTGCATTTTCGCCGCTAGTTCAATTTGTGTAACCCCAAATTATAGTGCTTAATTATTCATCCGCAAATTGAGTTGCAATCTACCTTATTATTGTTCCATTATCTAAAAAAAATCTACCTTGTTCTTACTTGTATTCTTCGATTCGGATGCAACAATTAGCCTTCTCGATGAGGTCAATTAGGTTTTGACAGAGCTGATAACCAAAATAAACGTGGTGTTGTGATTGTAAGGTTCGTGTCGTGTTAATCGGAAGCCAGATCGTGTATGTCAAGTTTCCACCAAATCGAGATTTATCAATACCTACCAGAAGATCGACACTTAGTTCCTCATCAGATAATTTGGATACAAATACATATACACATATTTTTTGCTGGATAAGATTAGGAATATGGTAATGTAAAATATGAATAATAATACGAATATCTGGTGAAGTGATTCAGATATATACCAAAGGCATGAAACATAACTCTTTTGTTCCTAACTTTAGTCCTTAAATTCGGTCTATCTCTTTAGATTTTAATAGTAGCCCATCACAGAATATTAGTTCACACTATTAATATTATTTGAACTTTTAAATATTTTCATAAATTATGATGTATATTATATGTTATAATATTAGTTAGGCATGCATTTATACCACTAATGCTATTCATGTTGAACTTAAATGGTATTATTTAGTCTATGACAAAACTTTTCTATAAAATGAGGTAATTATGTGTGATGTATTCGTTTCTATTAGAAATTCAGTTAATTTTCGTGTTTCGAGACAAATCTGATTATGTATTCGTGTCAGATCATATTTGATACTTATTTTTATTTGAGATAATTCATATTTGTTTTCATATTCAAGCTATTTATATTCCATTTTTGTCCGGCTAAAAATTGCAAAAACAAATATGGTGTAAGCATTATCCGTTCCTATGTGCTCCTTTTTCATCCTTATGTACTAGCTTCTCATGATTCATAGGCTCATTCTTTGTGGACCTACTTTGTTTCACGCTAATTACATATTTTTATGACCATATGATATTTAAGCAAAGTATTCGGACCTTTCATATCATTAAAAGAATTATTTTTTGATTACGCAGACGACAATGTGTTCGAATACACAGAATGGCTGATTGAAGTAATTCTTTGTTGCCTCAGATATATAGCCATGGATCGCTTTTTGGGGAATTAAACTACTTAGGTTAGACAACAGGTTGGATTAAATATAATTCGTGCGGATGCATCCAAACCATGCAGCTCGAAAAGGATGGTACGTCTTCCAGCCTACAATTAGACAAAATGCACGGTCAAACATGTAATAGTCTCCTACCTAATTGGTGCCATGTTTGGTTGAGCATATTAATTTTTAATTTCCTTTTTGTCTTGCAATAATTTTTTTTATTTCATTGTTTAAGCAGTGCCTACCTTCACATTTTTCATTTTTAACTAACTCAGCATCAGCTCTGACTACCAAGTTGTACGATGATCCAAACAATATAAAGTCAGTACAATAATCACAACCTGCATTTCAAGGCTAACTTTGTCTCCAAATTACTGCTTCTCAAATTTTCAACAACCTTTTGAAGGTCCATTGATTATATTCATGCAGGTCTCTCATTCTCTTTGTAAGACCAGTAAGTTCCAGCTGATTCTAGTCAGTCTCATTTTCCTTCTAAATTAGTACGTATTTAATAGGAAAAATTTGCTACAGGACATGTGAAATTTTCTAATTGGCTAGAAGACATTGTAAAATCGTGTCATTACTAAGGACACCAAAAAATTGTGTAATTGGTTATAGGACAACCATGGCATTATTTAATAATTTCATGGAAAAAAGAGGAGAGAAATTAAAAAAAGATAAGATTGCCCCTGAGTTTGAGTATGAGTATGGAAATTTCTGAACTTTTTATATGTTTAACAAATGAAGGCAGGTATAAAGTTGTACTATGCCCTGTCCCTGGAACGGTTACTATTTTGTTTTGGCGGTGTGATTAAAATCATGATTTTTCAGACACTAACAACCTGTTTGGTAGGGGCTTAAGATTCTTAGAAGCAGCTGTATGGTAGCCAGTTTCTAAGAATCTGGAAAAGCTAGATTTCCCAGCTTCTGACTTCTAGTTTATTTTCTGGATTCTACAACTACAACTTCTTAGAATCTAGACTAAAAGCTGGACTGTGTGGGTACAACAAAAACCTCCTATAGAGGCACTTTTCTAGAGGCGTTTTGCAAATTGCTTCCAAGATCAGAATTATTATAGTGTAGAGACACTTTACAGAGGCTCTTTAAAGTTTGCCTAGAAAACTTTAACTCTAGAGACATTTTTAGCTCAGTTTATTAGACTTTATCTTGTAGAGGTATTCTTTGGGCACTGTAAAATGCGTCTGATATGTAAAGGCATTTTCCTGAGACATTTTAAACTATGCTGAGATACTTTTTAAAATGATAATGTGTACTAAATGACTAAATATAAGTAACTAAAGATACAAACACACTAGTAAAGATGGAGTTGAGTTGGTTAGTGCATTAAACTATTAAAGATGGAGTTGAGTTGGTTAGTGCATTAAAGATAAAAAATGATTGTCCAAGAGATCTCAAGTTCAAGGCTCAACAAAAGCAAGAAAACTATTTTACTTTCCTTTTTTTTTTGACTGGTTTCACTACAGTTTAATGTCTCTAGAAAATGCCACTACTATCTTATAGATATTTTATACTTTTTTTTACTGGTTTCACTACAGTTTAATGTCTCTAGAAAATGCCTCTACTATCTTATAGATATTTTATAAAATGTCTCTTCGTTAATAGAGACAATTCACTATAAGACACTTATTAGATATTTTTTAAAATACATCTATAGTATTGTAAATGCATTTGTATAGAGTTTCTGATTCTGAGAGAAGCTACAGCAGCTATAAGCTCCCCCTAAACATGCCCTAAATTGATGAATGACGGATCAACAATTGGCTGGCTAGCTAGTACACATAGAAGTACAGAGAGAATTGAGGAGAAATTGTAGTGTTCTTACAATAGAACGGTACTGTTCTCCGATTCCAGTTTGCTTCACAATTACTTCCATTTTTCGCTTGTGATTCATCACACCTCTGCTCCGTCCTTTCACTTGCTTTTAGGGAAAAAAATTACCCACCTCTGATATTATTAAAGAAAACGGTTCGCTAATCTATTCCCGTCTCCTCCGGCTTCTCACACGCGCGCCCTCCCTGCCCGACGCCGGCCCAGCTCCTCTCCCCGGCACCGCCCCTTCTCCTCCCCGCAGACCCCGCCTGATGCCGCGCCGCCTCGACGAGCCGTCGCCGCCGCCCAGTCGCTCCGCCTCGGCGTGCGCACCGGGGACGTCGAACGGTGCCCAGATCCGGCTGTCCCTTCTCCGAGCAGCCTCCTCGCGCCAGTGCCGGAGACGACGGCAGCCGACGGGGCGGTGACGCCGTGATGCGAGTTCGACGACGCCTTCCCGTCGCTCCGGCAAGGCAGCCAGTGGCCCATGAGGCTCTCGGCGATGCGTATCCTCGGTCTTGGAACACGACGAGCAGCAGCGAGATGAACCCCAGCAGCATAAGTTCTACAGATCACACAGACAGGAAACATTCGGAAGAAAAATTGAATCAAATTTTAATTTTTTTCTGGCATTAGTGCCGGAGGCGCGGCGAACGGCAAGGAGTACGAGATTATCGAGTTCCCCGATCTGAATCTCGTGGAGGAGAACCAACTCATGCTGTCCATGGCGCACCCGACGCCAGCGTGTTTCTCGGAGTCGCCGAGGAGCAACGTGCTCTTCTTCCCGGCGCGGCATTGTGGCGTCCTCCCTAGCCTGACGACCCCGGAAGCTCACCACAGTTGCTTGATGTTGCTGTCCATGGCGCACCCGAAGGCGAGGCTCGCCGTGGATGGCGAAGGTGTTGGCGCCCCTGCCTTCCTGTGTCAAGACTCAAGAGAAAGGAGAAAGATACCTGTGCATGATACGTGGGGTCTACTCGTTAGGGAAGAAACTTTTTCAAAAACCACTTGTGTGTAACCAAACGAGCTTTTAGCTTCCTCACAGCTACTATTCTAAAACTACTTTTCAAAAGTCACAGCCCACAGCTACTTTTTCAAAAGCCACAGTCCAACCAAATATAAGCTTAAAACTTTCGTACACTTTAGTCTAACCATGTTAAAGCAATTAGTGATCAAAGTTTAAATAATAAAGCCACTACTACGAAAACGATTTTTTTACAAGCTCTTTAGATTGTAGACACACCGTTTCGCGTGTATCTGCAAAAATCGGGAACCCATTTTCGTGTGCGGACCCTTAAGAGGCCTTTTAAAGGTCCGCCTATGAGTCTATCATTCCTCCTTTTTTCCCTTCTCAACACTTCAAAATTTTATCCTCATCCACCCATCCTCATCCTTATCCTCACTCTCTCCTCTCTCGCTCTCTCACCTCTCCCTCACTCTCTCACTCTGTCTCCTCTCTCATTATCCTCTCGCGCTCGAGTGTGTGTGGCGAGTGCGGCCGGCGGTGGCCATGAACAGTGGTGGGCGCGGATGGCAGCACTGAGCGGCTCGGCAGCGGACGCGGACGGCGGTGGGTGTAGCCCGCGGCACTGAGCTGTTCGGTGGCGGGCGGATCCACCTCGGCCAGCCTCGCAATGGGCGGTGGGCGGCCCGGTTGACGGTGAAGGCGGCGGCTCCCTCAACCTCCCCATGAAGCTTCGATGGCGGCCTGAAGCGACGACGATGATGAGGAGGCGGCCGGGAGGGGCGCCACCGGCCCCGCGCGCACGCCGGCCGGATCCGCACCGTCCTGGCCAACGACGATGACGAGGAGGAGGCGGACGGCGCCGCCAGCCCCCCGCGCATGGATCTACGCCGTCCCGCTGCCGACAACGAGGAGGCAACGGCGGCCGGGAGCGGCGCCGCCCGCTCCGCGCACACGCGCGCCGGCCGGATCCACACCGCTGCCGTCGGATTCTAGGGTTCCTTTTTTTCGAATTTTTATTTTTTTGGAATTTTATTTTTCCATGCGGGCGACATAACCCGACCGCACACGAAATCCGATTATCCCGTGTGGTCTACTTAAACTGACCGCATGTGAAGATTATTTTTTCCGTGCGGTTAGGCTGCCCGTATGCGGAAATATTTATTTTCACAGACACCAGGGTGTAGGGTGTAGACGGGCAAGACCTCCGCATGGAAAAAAAACTTTTTGACCGCACGAAAAAAATCCTTTTAGTAGTAGTGAGCTAGTCAAAGTTGTCTGTTATTTGAAAACAGATCAGTGCAATGCTACACAATGCTCCAATTATAATGTTAATTAGAATGCATAAGTTTATACACCCTACCTCCAATTTTTTGCCACTGCAGGAAAAACAAAGCTAAGAATACATCTAGCAACTTTTCTCTGTGGATGGGAAACGCAAGGGAGCAGAAAATTAATGGTAACTAATATCTGTGACATGTAATTTTATTTATCTGTTCCCTTCTTGCCAAATAAAATTATCTGGATATAATTAGTTGGGAAGTTGCATCTGTTGGACCATTACAAGCCCCGGAACATGACAGGGCATCTCAGTGTCTGCATCAGCTCATTAGCAGATCTGTCTGAACCTTTGGATTTTTGCAGAACAAACTCCAAACGCTGAAAGATGGACAAGTAACCTGCCAGATAGCAAACTAGAGATGACGGGCCAACAGAAAGTTGTTTAGAATACCTGTTTCAGCTATTGTTAAGTAGAACAAGCAGATTCAGGGAACATTTTCCCAGTTTCAACTTTCAAGTATATCTTGGTGCCACACTTGGCTTACATGCATACAATTTGGCGTTAAATTGTTTGATTTGCATCATGGTATTTTTTTACGACTTAATTATTGGATTTGAATATATATCAAGTACTAGTTGATGTCCCGCACTTTGCTATGGAAATACTGAAAATCATCAATATTGTTTTTTTTTCAATGGTTGAGGATAGAATAAAAAGGATATTAGCTATTAACAAAAAAAAACTGGTTTGTCAAGCTATATTTGAACATATATAAATGTAATAGACTATGTAGGAGATTGTAGAACATATATAAATTTAATAGACTCTATAGGAGATTGTAGTTAAAATATAAGATTGTTGGCCAAGATTTGCATCACAAGATGGAAGAACGGAAAAAAGTGATGAAAAGCCAGGGTTTATAGTACTAATCATAAAACAAACTAAATGATACCCTACGCTTTAATGCAGAATATATGAATGAATATATGTTGAAATATTGTGGAAATGATGTGAGATGTGATGATTGGATATGCTTGCATGTTGATTTGTAGAATTCAATAAATTATATATGATATGCCATTCTTACATGATCTTTTCATAAGTAATTATGTTTGCATGTTGAGCTTTAAACTTGGTGGATTACAACTATATATAAGTACGAGAGAGAACGGCTGCGCTCATGGATACTGATGAAGATTGAGACGTGTTGGAATAAGTTCACTGGAGGTCCCTCAACTTAACGTCGAGTTTGTCTGTGGTCCCATAACCCCAAAACCAGACATCTCCACCCCTAGTATATATACACAACCGTGCAAAAAAGGTCCCTAGGAAGTATTGCCCTAATTTTTCTCCGGTTTCGCTGATGTGGCATATGGTGGGACCCACATGTCAGCATCCTCTCTTCTCCTCTTTTTTTTTCTTCTTCTCTTTTCTTTGTTCTCTCTTCTCCTCTTCTCTTCTTCCCCCCCCCCGAGCCTGAGAGGCCGGCGCGGGGGGGGGGGGGGGGGGGGTGGCGGCGGTGGCGGGCAGAGCAGGCAGGCGGGGATGGGCGAGCGCGGAGGAACACAAGGTCGCCACTGCCGCTCGGAGGGAGGCGAGGTCGCCGCATTTGGTGCCTCTCGTGCTGCTTCGACGGGGGGAAAAACGGGGAGGGGGAGGGAGAGGAGCTGGGGCAGCGCACGGCGAGGGCGCTGCTGACGTCGTTGCTGTGGGTGCCGGACTGTGCCGTGGAGCTGCCTGAGATGGTGGCGCGAGCAGGGTTGAGATGTAGGACGCCGCATCAGCAACAATAGCAGCAGTTGGCCGGAGGGACGCCATTGTCGCCGACGAGTGAAGCTCAGGTGGCTCAGCCCCCTCTCTACCCTATCCCGCAGAAGACGAAGCTCGCGCAATGGCGGCGGAGGTAACAGGATGCGGAGGCGGCTGAGTGGAACAACGCGAGTACGCACAGCGCCATGCCTAGGACGAGGAGGGGGACCGCGCGGAGGGACGCCATTGCCGCCGACGACTCACGAGTGAAGCTCGACCTACTCGGCCCCCTCTCTCTCCTCTCTCGCGGCTCCTCCACCCGTCGCTGCCCCCTCTCCTCCCTCCCAGGCTCACCGGCCGCTCTCCCCTCCCCCTCTCCAGCCGCCCACTGCCACGCTCGCCAGCGGCCGCTCCGCACGCCGCAGCCCTGCCCGCCGCCGCCCCCTCTCTCCGAGGCTCCCTCTGCTGCCGCCGGCCTCCGGAGAAGAGAAGAGAAGAGGTGATGAGGACATAACTAGCTCGGATATAACCATGACTACCTTATGTATTAATTAAATAAAGGTGCATATGTTCTACATTAGATTTACTTGTTATATATTTGAACAAACGTTGCTACACAATGAGTTTTGTGTTTTCATTTGCAGAGATACTTGCTTGGGCGAAGGAAAAGAGACCGAGCATAACAAATACATGGATGATTAAAGAAGTTGATTGTGGACCAAACCAAGACCTTCTCCAAGTCTACTTCTACCTCACCACGTCACTTTTGGCCCATAGAAGACAAGAAATTAAGTTGTACACGTTTTGGATTTAGATTTGGGCCTCCTGACAGCATCAACTTCAAACGGACCTAGCCGCTGATCCAGAAGGAATTTCGGGGCCCATGAGTACTTGTTGGAAAGCTTATGGAGTCTACTTTCAGATGGTTTTGATCCCACGTCAAAATTCCTACCGAGCTATCGGGAAACTGCAAAACAAGCCACGTATCTCATCCAGTCCGAATCTGATTTGTGTTTTGGGCCTTGTAATTGTGTCGTGGGCTTAGCCCAAGGGGGTGTGCGCCCTAGGGCAACCCTAGAACGCTCCTAATCATATTAATTTAGTAGCCTTCATCGTTTAGAGTCGGGTTTTGCTTAGATTATTTTGTCGAGAACAGTTTCGCCGCTAGATTGGTTTGTGGAACCCCAAATTCGAGTGCCTAATCATTCATATGCAATTGTATTGCAATCTATCTTATTCTTGCTTCTGTTATTCAATTCGCATGCAGGGATTAGCCTTCTCAGCGAGGTCAACCGGGTTTCGGCACGGTTGATAACCAGATGAGACGTGGTGCTACGATTGCGGGGCTCAGTAGCGTATTCGTTCAGAAGCCGGATCAAGTTGTGTCACGACTCCGCCCAAATCGATTGTTTATTAGTACCTATCGGAAGATCGGGACCCACATCCCTCATCAAGAGAAGAAAGAAAAGAGAAAAGAAAAGGAAAAAGAAGTGTGGGTCCACATTTTTTCACCTCACTTACATGTGGGCCCCATAATTTTATTTATTTATTTATTGCTGACTAGGATGTCACGCCAGTGAAACCAGAGATCCATACTGCCTGGGACATTTTTTTTGCACGGTTTCATAAAGTTTAGGATATACATTTCTGGTTTTGGGTTTAAGGGACCCCAGGCAAACTCCGGTGAACTTGTTCCAGACTTGTTTATTTCCTTCTTTCCGATGGGCTGGGCAAGTTGGGCCAACGAAGGATCCGGGCTGAGTTACCTCATGCGTTACTCGATCGTATGTTAGGAAAGGCCGTGGGAATGGGATGATCAAATTGCTAATAATTAATATAATTAGGATATAATCCAGTGCCTGAATATTTCTTAATGACGTGGGCTTAACTAAATCTCAGCTATTGGCATACCTCAAATTGTTTGATTTGCTCCATAGTTATTTCTTTACAACTAAACTTCATCCAAATGGTAGGGTTCAAATTTTCGTTTTCGCTATTTCTATTTGGGTAATTTGAATTTTTGAACATAATTTTGTGAAATTTGAACATTATTTTTTGCCAAATTAACAAAAAGAGGGAAAAAAACCAAAAAAATTTGGCCCCGGAAATTTTGTATAGGGGGTGGGGTGGTGGTTCGATAGACCCAAAAAAAATTTGAACCCTAGCAAACAATGGCCAGTGAATGTACCATTTAGATCATGGCCATTGAGTTTTTTAATACTCCTTCTATTCCAAAATAATCATACACTAGTAAAAAAATCTAATAATTAACTCTCTCATATTATATTTACTCCGACAATAAACCCGATGCATGCACCATACCCACTATTTTCTAGCCTATAGCAAATCAAGATATTGCATACTGATTATAAAATACTTGTGTGCATGTGTATATGCATCAATCTCTATTTACTCTAACGCATAAATAACGAATACACTAAATGAATGAACATAAATATGATGATTATTTAGAAATAGCCTCAAAAAAGTTATATGATTATCATTTTGGAATGAAAAGAGTAGATTGCTAGGCCCATTTTTTTTAGTTGTGCGTGTTTTTTATGTAAAGGCTAAGTTCTGTTGGTGGTTCTGGTGAGGGTGGGCACTGCTCCCTTCACCGTTTCCCCTTTTTCTCTGCTTTCTTAATAAAATTATAAGAAGGTAAAGATCATCATAAATACAAATCTAATCACTAAAATTATATGCTGCTAGTTTCTTTATTAGTCAAATTTATATATGTTGACTTCTCCAAAATTAGAGGTGCTCAGTTTAGGACCAAGGAAGTAGAAAGCTAAATGTGGAGAGAGAGATATACAATCATGTGAGACAATTTATACATACCAGGAAAATACAAAATATTTCTTAAGTTATATTGCAGAAAAAATATACCAAAATTTGGAATCCCATTATCACCCCTGGTTTGAGTAGAAATTAGCAGTGATAGTGGTTGTACGCTGGTTGGAAAAAAATGTTTTTAAATACCTGCAACGATGATATCTCTGTGCATGGTAACGTGTGTACGTTATGTCTTTTATTGTGGAACGGTATGCATGGAGGTCTGTAAGTACATAGTACATGTTGTATTTAGTCAACGCGCACATGACAGAGATGACCAAACAATCTCAGAATTATTGTAGCTACAAACGGACAGCTAGTGCATGTACGTGATACAAAGTGGATTTTAAGAGCACGTACGTTCGTACCATTTATTTACTGCATAGGATCAAAATAATTATAAAATATCATAAGACAAAAAAAATATTTTTTTTGGGAAAGGAAAACAAAATAGATCATGGTATCACACTTCCCTACACAGACTTGCTTAATTAATCAAATTTGATATTGAAAAAGAAATGATTTATCGTTTATGTTATCCATATATATTTTTTTCTCCATATGTTGAATTTGATCTTGAGATTTAATTAATTCATTTTTACGAAACATAGTGTACACACGCGCACACTTATGAACTCACACACGTTACACTACTCTCATAAGTACATCCGAGAGACTAGGCCGACAAATCACCACCGACACGTTACTATTGATGTATATTATACTTCCTTTGCTGCTAAAATATAAGGCATAAAAAAATTTTATATGGTCTCCAAATTATACCTTGACCATCACACTTATTTATAAAACTAAGAAATTAAGATAATTTTACACAAGTATACTGAAATCGGAATCTAATCACTTGCATTGTTCTATTTTCTCAAAAACAAGGGTGGGCACGCAATACGAGAGAAAAAATGATTTCATTATTAATTTTACGACTGACGCGAAGTGCTAACGAGCTTTGAGCTTGATTAGGTGCAGTTGGTTCGTTCGCATAAGTTATCTGTTTCATATATGCAGGTAATTTTTAGGGCAACACATTGGCTTAGTTTTCAGGCACAACTATAAAAGTGTGAGGAAGAGGGCGAGTGCTTAAAAGTTGCATGTCATAATCTTGAGATAACGGTTATGCAACTGTTTATCAATTTTAGACAAAGATTCACAAACAGAATTCAATAATTATGTAATCCTTATCTTGGGTTGGTAGTATTTAGTTTGCCTTTTCTTCACGGTTGGTGTCTTCTTTTTTTTGAACTATTTTATTTTTGTGTGTTACGTTGTAATAATTGGTTATAGCTTGTTGAGCAAAGGCCGAAATATTCTATTCCATTGTCTTAAAAAAAAAAAAAACTCCCTCAGCACGATCAGGCCATGCTGAAGAGCACTATAGAGTTATATATATTTACTACTGCTATAGCAAAAAAATCTCTCCACTCACAAACAAAGCACAAGAGTAAGATGGATGTTCCTTCTGTTGTGATCCCCATTTTGGTTGTGCTGGTCTCGAGACTCCTGACAAGCGCCCTGGTGCACCTGTTGTGGAAGCCCTACGCCATCACCAAGCTGTTCCGTGGGCAGGGCATCACAGGCCCCAAATACAGGCTCTTCGTCGGGTCCCTCCCGGAGATCAAGCGCATGAAGGCCGCCGCTGCCGCCGACGAGGTCGCCGCCGGCGCCCACTCCCACGACTTCATCCCCATCGTGCTGCCCCAGCACAGCAAATGGGCCACAGATCACGGTACGTACGCATATGCTTCTTCCGGCCAGTGATCCCTCAGCTAATTAAGTTCATCATCATATCGATCTGTGTAGTACTCCTTAATTATTCAGTGACCTTTCAATCGATGAGTGATGTGATGTGATCCGGCCACGTATGTACTATGTATGTATGGCACAGGGAAGACGTTTCTTTACTGGCTTGGCGCTGTGCCGGCCGTCAGCCTCGGCAGGGTGGAGCAGGTGAAGCAGGTGCTGTTGGAGAGGACGGGGTCCTTCACGAAGAACTACATGAACGCGAACCTGGAGGCGCTGCTGGGCAAGGGCCTCATCCTGGCCAACGGCGAGGATTGGGAGCGCCATCGCAAGGTTGTGCACCCAGCGTTCAACCACGACAAGCTCAAGGTTAATTAGTTACTCCCTCCATCCAAAAATATAATCATTTTTAGCATAATAACAAGTCAAATATTTTTAATTTTGACCATTAATAGTAAAAAAACTTAAAAAGATCAATCATATAAAATAATCATATAAAATTGATATTTACTAGATTTATCATTAAACAACCTATCATAATATGAAACTCTTTTTATTTAAAACATCATAATTTTATAGATATTATTAGTCAAAGTAGCATCTCGGAGACTGTGTCAGAATCCAAAAATACTTATATTTTAGGACAGATAAAGTAATTCTAGCTCGATCAACTGCGTGTTGTGTGTTACTGTCTTCTTCAAACCACGTAATTAGTCTTCTTTCTTTTTCACCGCTTTCCTTTTTTTTTTCATCAATATACACCTAAAACTAATAGCACAAAAGGTTATATATAGCCGATTTAAATTTAGATTTAAATATTTTTATACAAAGAGAGTGTTTCTATACATAATATGCGTGTCGAGTTTACAATATATATATTTATTATATTTCTATATCTGACATGTTAATTAGCCCTGAATTAGAGGATCATATATATCTTTTGTGTCGATCTCTCAGTTCATGTCTGTGGTCATGGCGGAAAGCGTGGAGTCGATGGTCCAGCGCTGGCAATCACAGATACAGCAAGCTGGAAATAACCAGGTTGAATTAGACCTAAGCAGAGAGTTGTCAGAGCTTACTTCTGATGTGATCACCCGCTCGGCCTTCGGTAGCAGCCACGAGGAGGGCAAAGAGGTCTACCAAGCACAGAAAGAGCTCCAAGAACTGGCCTTCTCATCATCATTAGATGTGCCAGCTCTGGTTTTTCTAAGGTACTAAATACTCTTTTCTTGCCACCTAATACATCAGTTCTTATTTCTTCATTCGTAAACTACAACTAATATATACTTCCTCCGTTTCACAATATAAGTCATTTTAGCATTTCCCACATTTATATTGATGTTAATGAATCTAGATAGATATATATGTCTAGATTTGATGTGTTAATGAATCTAGATAGATATATATGTCTAGATTCATTAACATCAATATAAATGTGGAAAATGGTAGAATGACTTATATTATGAAACGGAGCGAGTAATTTTGTTTCCTTGATCTTATGGTTGTTCACACGCAGGAAATTACCAATCATAAGGGGGAACACACGAGCTCATCAGCTCGTCAAGAAATCGAGGACCATGCTCATGGAGATAATCGAAGGACGGCTTGCCAAAGTCGAAGCTGCCGAAGCCGGCTATGGCAGTGATCTTCTTGGACTGATGCTGGAGGCGCGAGCTCTGGAGAGGGAAGGGAACGGCCTGGTTCTCACCACCCAGGAGATCATAGACGAGTGCAAGACCTTCTTCTTCGCGGGGCAAGACACTACCTCCAACCACCTCGTCTGGACGATGTTCCTGCTGAGCAGCAACGCTCAGTGGCAAGACAAGCTACGGGAGGAGGTGCTGACAGTGTGTGGAGATGCAATTCCAACGCCCGACATGGCTAACAGGCTGAAACTGGTACGTTGAACTTTGTCTGACTGCGTCAGGGTTTTCAATTTCGAAATTGGATTTTTTTGCCAGGGGACCGAAATTATCGAAATTTCGAAAATTTCAAAACGAAATTGCAAACCTACTCTGAGTTCGTTCGGATAACTTGCTGCGGCAATTTCTTCGTTCTGCACGAGCACGCTTTCAAACTGCTAAATGTTTTTTATACAAAAGTTTTTTCAGAAAAAATGAAATAAATCCATTATTCCAGTCTCAATTAGTCATACGCCTTTCGGTTTGTCTCGTTTCCCATTCCAACAAAAATCCTGAATGAACCGCCCAAACAATCTTTTTTTTTTAGGAAACAACAGGAGAGGCTCCTACCCTACTATAAAAAAAAAGATATTTACATAGTTATGTGTACAAAATTAAAAGGAGTATGCCCAAACAAACTCACCCTTCATTTACTCCATCCATCTATCGATTCATTTTAATTTGTTGTTTTTGCCCTCATTTTGCATGAGAATTTATCATTTGGCCTTCAGGTTAACATGGTTCTCTTGGAATCACTGAGGCTGTACAGCCCAGTAGTAATCATAAGGAGGATTGCTGGTTCAGATATCGATCTTGGCAACCTAAAAATTCCCAAGGGAACTGTGCTTTCCATACCGATCGCCAAGATACACCGGGACAGGGATGTATGGGGACCCGATGCCGACGAGTTCAACCCTGCAAGGTTCAAGAATGGCGTGTCGAGAGCCGCGAGCTACCCAAACGCGCTGCTGTCCTTCTCACAGGGTCCAAGAGGTTGCATCGGCCAGACCTTCGCGATGCTAGAGTCGCAGATCGCGATCGCCATGATCCTCCAGAGGTTCGAGTTTAGGCTGTCTCCATCGTACGTTCATGCTCCCATGGAGGCGATCACCTTGAGGCCCAGGTTTGGACTTCCTGTTGTCCTAAGGAATCTCCAGGGATGAGATGGACCGTACGTACTATTATATATTATACAGTGTGTCGATCTCTACGGTTCGTGCCTTCATTATATATTTGCGCAATTTTCCTTTATTTATCCTACGGAAAAGGTAATGAGTGAAAGTGAATACTGTTATCCAGAAGAAGCAACACACATTTTGGCTGGAAAAGTAAATGAATAAATTCTACTCCGGCCACTTGAATATATATTACAAAGCTTCTATGTTGGTCTAGAAATATGCAACAGAAACTCAAGGTACACTTTATGACAAAGTTAAAAATTTGAGATTTGCTCCTGTCCCAAAAAAAAAAAGTACCTCAAGGTACCAGTACCTCACGGTACCAAATCATTTCCGATCATTGGATCTAATTAACAATACCCGTCCTATCCAGCTAGATCCAATGATCGGAATCGATTTGGTACCGTGAGGTACCAGTACCTCGAGGTATTTTTTGTTGGTCTAGAGCAAATCTCTAAAAAAATATAGGTGTATAATACTCCTGTCCCTTCTGCTACATTTCTTTGTAGGATCGAACAACGAAATTTAGATCGGATAGACCGCATGTCCTCTGCCGGTCTAACCGCACTTGTGCCGCCGGTCTAACCGGTGTAGATCGTCCGGTCGAACTGCTGCCGCGTCGCTTTCTGTCACTGCAACCGTCACCTTCTATCGCCGCAATCATCACCGGTCTGACCGCCGAGGAGCCACCGGTCTGACCGGACAGATGTCTCCGGTCTGACTGTCAGTTTGACCACCGCACCTGAGCAAACACAAATCAAAGATCTTTCAAAATAGATTGAAACTTTATTAGTTCTCTATGTGTTTACAAAGTGCAACAACAACACTCACAAAAATCTCGACTAAAACTCGAAACCTTTAACTTTACTCTCAACTCAACTCTAATCGATACCGGGAGGCTACACCCTCCCTCTCTATATATACCCGAGGTATGAAGCCTAAAGCCACGAACCAATCTTGTACAAGTCGTCCTAATCTCCTAGGAAACCTTCCCGTACAAGAAACAAACTTTACAAACTCCAATTGTATCAAATTTGGACTCCCACCAAATTCAACTCCGCATCCCATACGCATATAATATCTCCATCGTATGTCATATGGAATCTTCACCAACTATGTGTATTGATCTTTAGCCTAAGCATCTCACATGATATCCTGACCGTCTGGACGTCATCTTCTCAAGTTGACTCCCGATCCATCACCGGCAACACTCTCCCGAGACGCCAACTCACCTACACATGCTTCAACCAAGAAACCATATCCGAACACAAGTTCTTTCTAACTTGACTCATTGTTAGCACACAACAATACTAGATATATACGCATAGTATCCATCTAGAAGCCATAATCATAGAATAATCACAAATATCCAAAATAACAACCCGAAACCGAAACCGAAACCGGCACAGCGTCGGTCGGTCAGACCGCGGGCTGGCTGGTCTGACCACGCGAATACCGCCGGTTTGACAGGCTACCACAGCCCAATCTGACCGGACCCAAACAAATCGTAATCCCTGTTCATCATATGAAAATCCAATCATCTCCAAAACTACTTCACCAATAATCACCAAATATCAATACTATTCTCCCATATGTTATTGGATTCCATCATATGAAAATCCAATCATCGCCAAAACTACTTCACCAATAATCTCCAAATATCAATACTATTGTCCCATATGTTGTTGGATTCTTGTTACTTGAACCATCGAACTGGTATAGCCTGTCCTCACCAATGCGAAAAGACGATCAAGAAAATCCAATGGTTCAAAAATCTACTCGATCTAAATCAATTAAATTCACCAGCGCCAGCAACTTAGGGCACCAGTTCAGAATGGATTTAGGCATGCGTGGCCAATTGAAGGAGAAACTATTTTTTTTACATTGCTTAATTAAATGAACTAACTAACGTAATACATTTTGGGATGATGTTACTATTTCTGAAATGATTCTGATCGCCTTTATTTCAAAAGTAGTTACCCATATAGTTCCTCTCCCCGATCATGTTTGGACTGCTGAAGTCTTCGTGCTGGAGTATACAAATTTATCTTGTGTGAGGCCCCACAACACATGCATTTTAAGAGTGCTGGAGTATACTGACCGGCCCCACACACGGGCACATACGGGCCTCACACCCGCGGTCCACTAGGCTTTGGGCGGCTTACACCACCCTGAGTGTGCACAAGCACTAGAGATTGTGGGTTTGCGTACACAGTGGGAGAGTCTCACACTCAAGAAGAAGAACCACAAGGCTGGTGGTGGTCACAGTGGCATTCGTTCGTGGCCGCAATGACAACAATGACGACGATGCAAGTGATAATTCCGATGACAACGGGCGCATGTCGGACAGGAAGATAGGGAAGTGCTACAACTGTGGCATACGTGGGAATTTTGCCAAGGATTGCCGCAAGCCAAGGAAGGAACATGCACTTGTCGCAACGGCCGACGAAGAGCCGTGTCTCCTATGATGAAGTGTATGTGAATTATGCAAGTCATGATTAGGGGAGGTATTGTTAGCATTAATCTGTCATGATTAGGGGAGGCATTGCTAGCATTAATCCTTACTTGCATATGTATTTAATCTTGTATGAGTTGCTGGTAGCTAGCTAGGAAGGTGATATGTTCACGTGCGCATGTGTGTCATGCATGTAGGTGGTGGTTAGTTAAGTATTGCTTGGTCTATTAGAGATCAGCAATTGCATGTGTTGCAGCTTGACTAAAAATTCATTGAGACTGAGAGTAGAAGTAGCAAGTTAGTTAGCTGTATGCATGGTTAATCTGTTAGTTAATTAACTGCATGTACGTGGGGCTAAAGTAGGCTTACATTTTTTCACTTGTTGGCCCAAAACCGGGAGACATTGGTCTAACCGGGAGAAAGCCTTAATTAACTGCATGTACGTGGGGCTAAAGTAGGCTTATAATTTTTCACTTGTTGGCCCAATACCGGGAGACATTGGTCTAACCGGGAGAAATCCTTGCTACACCCCAAAAGCTAGCTCAAGAGCCCCCGTCACGTCACAACATTGGTGCCCACTTTTAAGTTGGTTCAACTCTAACTAAATTAGCAATGTGGGACTATTCCTAACAATCTCCCCCGTCACGTCACACATTGGTGCCCCTCACAGCACTGACCGGCCCCACACACGGGCACATACGGGCCTCACACCCGTGGTCCACTGGGTTTTGGGCTTACTCCACCCTGAGTGTGCACAAGCACTGGTCCACTGGGCTTTGGGCTTACTCCACCCTGAGTGTGCACAAGCACTAGAGATTGTGGGTTTGGCTTTGATACCACTTGTTAGCCCAAAATCGGGAGACATTGGCCCAACCGGGAGAAAGCCTCGCTACACCCCAAAAGCTAGCTCAAGAGGTGAGGGATTCCCCCCGCTTTTAAGTTGGTTCAACTCCAACTAAATTAGCAATGTGGGACTATTCCCAACAAGATATTGTAGTATGTGGATTAGAGTCCGACATCTTCCCTCACCACAAAGGAATTTTCATCTTATCAATAAACGTCTCATATTTGAGTGTATCCTTCCGTATAAAAATAGTTATACAGTATTACTAGCAGCTACGAATCAGCTGATGCATAATCCGTAACACTGTCAACTAGTATCTACATGGTAGCTAGCATCATGTCAACCGGCCCTGTTCGAATCTTTTGAAGATTAATTGAGAAAACTTTTTATATAAAAGTTGTTTTAAAATATCTTCCTAATGCGTGATTAATTGAGTTTTAATCATTACAAATTAAAAAAAAGATATATATTTGATATTTTAAAACAACTTTTATATAGAAAGTTTTCGTACAGAACACACCGTTTTGTAGTCCGAAAAGCGTGCTAACGGAAATTGAGGTAAAATCTTTATCTTTATGCGAAAAGAATGGGGCCCTCTCAATCTACAACCAGTAACTTCAACTTGGCATGAATCTTTTGAGCTGCATTTAAAAACAAAACTTACCCTAGAACACCACTTGAAGGGAAAGAATGAAAACTAATTAGCCAGGAAATCCAATTATTATTCTCAAACTGAACTTGTCTATTATAATATATAATTTATTGGAAAGAGAATCACATCACACATTCAACATGTGTATTATGCTCGATGCAAAAGTATATATAACGCATATAATATTTATATATATATGGTCTCTAACTTATACTGTGACCATCAAATTATACCTTGTGAGAGGATGAGGTAGGTGGTGGGCCATATATTAATGCTATGGTATATATCTATAGGTAACTATTGTATGGGTAAGCTATTAAATGGCTATATATGACACGACAATAAGTTATAGCCAATAGTTGGTTATATTATTAGCCTTGATCAAATGTGTTATGTACCATGCGCTCAACGCAAGAAAGCAATGCTAATGTGTTGTTTGGAATGCTAACACATTGATAAAATCGAAGTTCACGATCGTATATATCATTATAGTCCATAACTTGACCGATTTGTATCTTATATTGCTTCAACTTTTTAGTTAGGCCTTTATTTCTATGAAACATTTGCTCTTAGTGCGATTGGAGCCTACTCTAATGCTAGTGCAAGGAAAGTTACTACGTTGACAATATTGATGTAACTTTATTCAACATAGTACTACCGGTTAATTAAAGAACTTTTGAAAATTGGCAGGAGATAGCGATTCTACGTTCCCTGGTACTGTACAACATGTGTATTAGCGGAACCGTATGCACATTTGACCACAGGTTAGAGTACATACATGTTGTGCAACTGCTGTGTTTAGTCAGTGTTGTAGATTTACTCCCCATATCACGAAGCATACTGAAAATTAATTCCTAGGAGACTTATTACTACTGTACCAACACTGGACAACAAGTCAAAAACATGGATATGTGATGTACGTGATAGGAATTGGATTTTAAGCCTTGAGAACACAACCTTTCAGATAAATTAAATTATGGTTCCATATATCCCTACAGTTGGAAAAAATTGTAATAATGCCATCTCTGTGGTAATGTGGTACACACAGAGGCCCATATGTTATGTGTACTTGTTATATGACAAGTTTGGAAATAATATCTTGGGAGACTTAATGTAGGTACGTCAAACAACCATTGGTGTTGAAAAAGTTAAGAAATAAGCAATTATGCTATCTTCATGGCAACGTGTATTGTATAACCTTTTTCATGGAACTGTACTTATGGATGCTCGTGTGATACAGTACATATATGTCGTATTTAGTCTATG